TTTGACAAAAATTTGTTTTCCACTGCACTTTTTTTACTCATCATTCATTGAAAATGATTGACAGCAAGACAATCTTTTCAAGCCAAGTAATAATACAAGATGAAGGACAAGATGATGGTGATGATAAAATAGGAAAAAGGTCAACATCAACAACAACAAAAGGCAAGTAAAAAAAAGGAAGGTAAAAAAGATGCAAAAAAACACAGAGAAGAAGCAAATGAAGTAACTGCTCGAATCAAAATAATGTCAAATGAAACAACGGTAGACGAATCAAGATTGAAGCAGTGAAACGACCAAAATAACGAGCCTGATGAGGAAAGATGACAATCTTTAACAAAAAGATTCACATTCTGAGAATGCAATTTTCTTCTTCTTTGGGAACATTTTAGAAGAATGTAATTTGATTCCTTGCAATGATTTTTCTTTATCTTTTTGTTTTCTCATTTTGTCATCCTTCCTCATCCTTTATCTTCATCTGCTTGTTTCACTTTTACAGACATGATTGCACTTAAACAAGAAAAAGCGAAACATGGAAACAAAACAGAAGCAAAACGATTGCAACTTGTCCAATCGTTAACCAAATGCTCTGTCCCATGAATTACTCAGCCCATTGGCCTGTACGCTTGTCACGGTGAGCAAAGGACAAGCAGCTAGGTCGAGTCAAATAAAGATTCAAATGAAAACGCGAAAAGAAGAAGAAGAAAAGAGAAAAAATGGAAAAAAGCAATTTAATGATTATCACCTTTCTCATCTTCACTGCATCATTTGCAACTAGATACTTTGTTATAGGCACTTTCTGTATCATCATCATCATTATCATCTTGATAACCACCTCCTCCTTTCCTCCTCCTCTCATCATTCTTGTTCACTCCTCTTTATTACTCTCATTTCCCACATCGCTTTTTCAGTTTCATTTCGTTGGGTTGAGAAGAAGAGAGAAGGAGAAAAAGTTTCAAAGTTATTCGTGAGGAAAAGACAAAATCAATGTTTTCTCAACACAAATAAGTGGCCATCTTTAAGGAAACAAGATGATGATGAAGAGAATGATGATGATGATGATGATGATGATAGGAGAGAAAACAAAGAATACAAAATGTACGATAAGAGAATAATGCATTTAATGAAAGATAAAAGATCAGCTCAAGTTACTTTAACTAGTCCCTTTTGGATTCTCTTGTTTTTGGCCTTTTCTTTCCCTTATCATCATCCTTATCGTAATCTTCATCTATTTCATTCTTCACCATCTTCATACTTGATCTTCTTCTTCTTCTTCTCTTCATCATCTCATTCCTATTCTCATCCCTTAACCATTTCAACAACAAGATTCTGCATCCTTGAATGCTCTCTTGACTCTCTCCTCTTAAGACAGATATTGTTACATCTGGTAACCTTATTCATTCCCAAAAAAAAGTAAAAAAAAACAAAACCAAAACTGACTAAATCTTTGAAACCATTTTTACTGTTTCAATATTTTAACAAATTGTTAAATGTCAACATTTATTACAATAAACGTTAAATATTCATTAGCACATTGGTATTGTTTCAGACTTGACTCTGTAAACACTTTTTTATTCAAATTTTTTTGGCAAATTTTTCTCCCAATTTCGACCTTAAATCTTTAAAATTCAATACTTTAAGGCAAGCATTTAGATCGCCGTGAGACCGTAGGTTTAACCTACTGATGACTTGTTGCAAAAGAAATCCAGATCAATTCGAGAGGAACTGGTTCGGACAAATGGTACATGTGCATGCTCGACCAATGGCATCACGGTTCATCGAGCAATTAGACTGAACGCCTCTAAGTCAGAATCCCGTCATTATATGGCAACGATTCTTGGTCTTTAACCGATCAATTTCCCTTCATCTTTTCTAAAAAGTCAACCTCGAAACTTTCAAGATTCACAATTCTTCGACATCAAACTGAATGTCGATTTAACGGCACATTTCTGAAAGATCCAACTCTGTTCAATATCTTTGATGTAAAGTTTCTCGAGTTTCCAAGTCGACAAACATTTTTGAAATAATTTCCTCAACTTCCAGACTAATGGCGAATCACCATCTTATCCAACAATGTAACAAGTATCGCATTATCAGTTTATCGCAATTATCTTGATCAAATAACAGTGACCATGAAAACGGGAATAAAGGTAGAAAAGGTAGAAATTTGGCAAAAAAGAAAAAAAATATTTAAATTGTTGGTTTTCAATGAACTAAACATGATATTATATCCTGCAACTGTGGATAATCAATATTTTGATGGAAATGATCATTGAACGTTTTGACAGACGATGCAAGATGCACAAATAAGGTTAACAGTGATACATGATAATAACATGATGTTGAATGATCCAAGGTAAATGGTAGTTTAAGAAGAAGAAGAAGCTACGAAGAAATTATCAAATTATTACTAAATGATGATAATTTGAGTTTCTCAAACAATTGATTGGCCAAACAAATGCAAACAAACATCTCAACATGATTACATTATAAACTTGTGTGTTAACTGATTACCTCATGATGGGCCAAAAGAAGAAACATTTTTTGGCAGTTTACATATTTGTTTAACAAGATACCCTTATTATTTGATATATATCATTATCATGATGAACCATGAAAAGTTAACAAGACAAGAATGTTTATTTTTGTTCATTTTTCATTTTTTCCTTTTCATTTCTTTTTCTCTCTTTTACCTGATAACTGATAGCAACTACGAATTCATTTGTGGCCTTATTCACCTGATTACAGGGTATAACAAGGAGAGAAACAAAGAATCAATATCTTCGTTGGATTTCAATTGAAACTTTCCTTTTGTTTTTGCCCTTCTTTGTTTGTTTTTTTGTTCAACATCAAGAATCCAAAAATGTACTTACCTTTCGCCAAGTCTATCATTAAGTTATCACAAGAGTAACAAGCTTCTTTACCTGTTCAACTTTTGTTACTTGGCACATTGAAGGTAAAACTTGTTTAACCGTCTTGACTCGACCTACCTCGAAATGATATCAAAGCCAATCCTCAATCATTTTGACCCTTATCCTTGTGGGGCTCAGAGTTGGTCAAGCCCATGTTTTGCCTGATGCTGTGGTGTCAACATGTTGACTTGAATTGAAGCTGTTGAACGGGCGATTATCAAATTGCGCTAATGTGAACTTTTTGCTGTTTCAACTCATTATTTCTGTTTCTTTGGCGTTTAGCTTTTCTTTTCGCCTTGTTTTTGTTTGATTGTTTTGACAAGAGCAAATTTGTTGAAATCAATTGATTGGATTTGGTAAACGGTTTGATGGGAATTAACAAGACATTGAAACGTTGGCACCTTGATTAACATTTAACTTTATCAATAAAATTCATTTTCAAGTTTTTCCTCTTTCGCTCTTCTTCTCTCTCTCTTTCCACCCCTCATTTTAACAGGTATGTTTGGCTGTTCAAGTGTGTGTGGTTGTGTTCATCTTTTTGACGCTTGTAAAAAGCTGTTCAATTTGCTAATCAATCTTGTCAGCACTTGTAAAGCTTAGCAAAACCAGCACCTAATGACTCATCATCATTACTAATACCATCATAATCTATTGCTTGTTATGTGTTTACGCGTTAATCATCAATTTAATCGCCCCATTATTATGGTCATTATTACACTTTTGATCTGCCATTTTTTTGTGTTTTTGGCCAAACTTCACTTGAAACTAAAGAGATATTTTTAGCAACATATTGCAGTGTACAACCTATAAAATTTATATTCAAGATTCTGATTCTTTTGCCCAGTGTCATACTTTTGATCACTTTAACCACCTTTAAGCTTAACCCAGTCTAGCTTTCACCCAGTCTATAAAACATGATAAGGATTATATTCAATATAAATTTTGAGTTTATGGGACGAGCACGGCGAACAAGTTAAAGATGAGAACTTCTCATTGAGAAGTTATTCGAGAAGGGAATTAACAATTAATGGATCTCTATTATCGCACTTGTATCAATAGGTGTAAGTTTAGATACTTAGTAACTGCGGTTATCAAGGCATCAGTTTTCTGAATAAACGGTATTCATCTATGCAATCTATACATCATGTAAAGAGGATTGGAAGTAGTGAAATTTCCATCAACCTAAATGCTTGAGAACTGCAGTTAACTCTGGAGCTTATAAAAATGATAGGGTCATCCATTAGATATGGAAAGATCGTTTTTGCCAAAACCCAAATTTATTCAATCTCTAATATCCAAGGAGAAAAATGACTTTTTTATGAGACCACCTTTTGCTGTGCAAAGAGAAAATAAAGTTCTGTTCAAGTTATTTTCATGAATGAATGAGTCAGTGAATATCAATATCAACTTGAAATTAAATTTGTAATCAATAGCATTTTGTGTTATTTTTCATCTTCTTCTTCATACCATCAAAGGTTATTCAAGCCAAAGCAAAGTGAAACATTTAACTAATGAACTGAATTGTGACGATTAACACTATTCAATGTAACCTTGCGCTCTCCTTGTTAACCAAAAAAAAGTAATCTAATCTGATTAATAACGGTTTAGTGAACAAGTTAATAGCAATTTAATCCAAGTGATGAAAGCTAAAAGATACTGGAAGCACATCAAAACAGATCATCTTCATTTTAAAAGCTTAACAGATTAACTTGACTGGTCAAGTGTCTTTCTTTCATTGAAACCATGATAATATTACGACATTTGATTCCCTTTCAATAACACGTAAAATCAACTCAATCATGCATTTGGTTTGTTGGGCCAAAAACCATTTCCAAAACTTTTCAATGTTAATCTCATTAGAAAGACAAAAACCTGAATGAAGCAGAAATGCATTCAACTGAATATTCAATGAAAATGAGCAAGAAAAGGATTGACAATATAACTGTTTTATTGAAAGGTATGAATGGTGAAAATGAATATCAATTCATTGTGGAATGATTTTTTAATTTAATTTTGTTTCGCTTTAATTGTTAATAACTTGAACTGTTAAGTTTCTCCATTTAGTTAACTTTTTGTTTTCAAAATTTGGGCTTTTCTTTGCCGTCAATTTATTTGTCTCTGACAATTGATTAATATAATACAATAAAATGATTAAATTGAATCTCGATCAAATTACAAATTAAATTCAAGGTGACAAAAATGAATAGGAATGACTTTTGTGTGTGTTTTCACATAAATTAACAATGCCTAAGAAATGAGTCTCGTTAACATCGTTTTCATCATCGCTCATCGGCCATCAGTTCAACATCGAGTTTAGTGTTTCCCTCTTTTTTGTTGTCATATTGCAGTGAGTGGTCATGAATCATGAAGTGACTGTACCAAGGTGCTAATCAGTTGTCAGGTTTGCCACATTACCCCTGATGGTCACCGTTGGAAAAGGAACACAAAATTATTGCTTCAACGTTTTAGCGTCTTTACGTGCTGGAAAATTGTTCAAATTCATCTGCTTCTTTTTATCATGTTCATCATTTTTTATTCATTGAGTATTGTTCATCATATGTTTTTGGATTGTGCTGATGATGGTAATGATCATGATGACAAGTGCAAGGAAAAAAAGCTTTCGGATGAACGGCTCAGGGAAATTATTTTTATGGTCAAAACGTGTCTTGAAACTTGAACTTGAACTTGTTGATTAGCACCAATGTTCTGTCAAAATTTTTTAGATAATTCTTTTTTCTGTTGCTCAATGATGAAACGATTTTACTGGAAACGGATGAATTTATATAAATTAAAGGGTGATGATGTTGGGCTAGGGGTGGTGATAGGTATGTATAATATGTATTTATAATTTGGGTTAGAAAAAAGAATTGAAAATTTTTCTTTTCTTTTTTTTTCTCTTTATCTTTTTTTGTCTTTCAGCACATTGGCTCGTTGAAATTGAAACGTTTCAGCTCATTGGGAGCATATGCCATGGCTAGTGAATCACTTGAAAGAAGACTTGGATGATGATGTGAGTGATGATGATGGTGGGACTGGAGGTGAGGAGGAAGATGATGATGTGAGTGACTTGAGGGATGAGCTGAATTGGATGAGACGGTGGAGATGCTAGGATTGCCTGAGATTCCAGTGTTGCCATCAAGTGATCCCAGGTTACCTCCAGTTGACGGTCCAGTGACTGATCCGTTGGTGGAAAGTGAATGATGATGAGTAAACTTGAAACCTGAATGGTGGTGAGGATGGTGATGATGATGATGGTAAGCTGCTGCTGCTGCTGCGGCCGCGGCTGCTGCTGCTGCAGCTGAACCACTGGACATGGATTGGACCGATTGATGGTAGCTTGCTGCCATGTTGACTGCATCAACCATTTCACTTGAAGACGATGAACCATTGGTACGACTCTCGGGTAACAGTGTGGCACCCAGTCCAGTAAGACTGCCAGTTGGAGTCAATGATACAGAAGCGCGACTTCCACTTTTAATCAAAGGCGGACTCTCACCGCGCAAGGTAACGTCACTTGAATGACCAGAGTTAGAGGAATCGTCCAAATTTCAACT